AAGTACGGTGCACATAGCTATGCAAAAAAGATCATGTTCTGCCCAACACCCTCCCCCCCCTTTTCTTTTGGTCATTCAGTTTAGAAAGGTTTCCACACTTGCTCAGAAGGCAACCTCCCGTTTGTTTTTTTGTTTTTGTTTTTTTGGGGGGTTCCCTGTGGTTTTGGAGGCTGTCCTGGAACTAGCTCTTGTAGACCAGGCTGGCCTCGAATTTACAGAGATCCGCCTGCCTCTGCCCCCAGAGTGCTGGGATTAAAGGCATGCGCCACCAACGCCAACGGGTATCTCCCCATTTATTTTTAATTAGAAATTTGTGTGTGTATGTGTGTGGGTGTGCGCGTGCACTGGTGTGTGCACAGGTGTGTGCTCAGGATAGTCAGAGCATTTTGGGTGTATTTCTCTATGGATCTTCATCATTTCTTTATTTTTTGAGATAGGGTCTCACTATGCAGCTCCAGAAGGCCTGGTACTCTTTATCTAGACCAGGCTGGCCTCGAATTCAGAGACCTACTTGTCTTCTGCCTCCCTGTTGCTAGTATTAAAGCATGGGCTACCCAGTTTCTGAAAGGTTCAGGCTTTGACGCTGATCGGCTCTACCTCCTTAAGAGACAGACCCCCGCCCCCTGACAACAGTTGGGCACGCTCAGGAAAACTTGCTAAGTCATCGCCATGTCACCAGCCATGCATTATGGCCTGCTGAGGACTCTGGGCATGTGTGGAACCTCAGTGCGCAGGCACAATCTTCCCTTTAAAAGCTCTAACTTTCCTGCTTCACTCTCTCTGCTTCCTCTCTTTACTCTCTCCTCTCTCTCTCTTCTTCGCTCTCTCTCTCACCTATGCGCTCTCTCTGCCTCTATGGTGACCGGCCATGGCAGTCAGCCATTACCCCTGTTCCTCTTCTCTCTTAGTCTCCTTATGAAAGGTTCAGGCATTATGCGTGCCTGCCCCTGTTACCTGGTGGAACAGGCAGTACCCTGGTCAGCCCAAGGTTCCATGGGAACTGAGTCTGCACGCAGGTGCAGAGGACCTCTTTAAAATGACAGATCCCTGCCCATTTACTCTCTCTTCCTCTCGGCTTCCTCTCTGTTTCCTCTCTACTCTCTCTCACCTATGCGCTCTTTCTCACGTATGCGCTCTCCCTGTTCCTTTCCTCTTCTTAGTCTCCCTACTCTGCCGGGCCTTATAATAAACTTATAGTCAACATGTCACATGTCTCAGCATTTCTTTTTTCTTCTTTTTAAACAAAAGAATAACACCTTACTCTGCCGGGCCATATAATAAACTAGTTAACATGTCTCATCTTGCAGCTTTCTCTTTTCCTCTTTTTAAATAAAAACATAACAGCTTCTCCTATTTTTATATAGTCTCTTGATGAACTTAGAGCTGACCACTTTGGCTAGTGTGGGTAGTCATCAAGCTCCAAGCATCTATCTGCCTGTCTGTACACCCCAGTGCTGAGGTTATAGACAGCTATGGCTTTGGGCAGTGTTATCAGAGACTCCGGAATCACCTGGGAGACGGGTCTCTAGGCATGCCTGTGATTATTATCTGGATTGTGTTAACCGAGGTGGGAAAAACTACCTGCTTACTTGCTGCAGGTGGCAACATTTCCCTTGGATGGAGCCCCAGACTGAATAAATGGAGGACGTGGGCTAAGAAGTACCAGGTGTGCTTTGCTGTCTGATTGTGAATTCAAGCGCTGCTGACGCCTTGGCTTCTCTGCCATGATGGGCTGTGATGTGGTCATTTCATATGTACTACAAAGAGGATGGTGTTGATAGGCCAGTGTCACATGGGTTGCTCATGAACTTCCCAAAGAGTCAAGGCAGAATTAGTTTGTTAGAGACATCGTGGTACAGATGCAGTGGGCAAGACAGTAGAAGAAAACTGCAGAGAGGCAATCTAAGAGCTGTTTTCAGGGTGTGCAGAGTCTTTAGGGGCAGTTAGGCAGTGCTCCAGTGTCACATGGTCTGGAATAATTTCGGTTGGGGCTTGTCCTCATGGTCACTATCAGTCTGACCTTGAGGCATTCATCCTCTTTTCTCTGAATTAGAAAAGGCTTTAACAGGACCATCTTTAATTGTCATCCACACTTTGTAGGACTTGTTGGGATTTGTAAGGGTCTTTCCCAGAATCAGCCATCACCTTGCTCTGAGCCCAGCTTGCTTTGGGACTAAATCTGCCTTGTTTAGAGGTTCAGCTCTGCCATTTGTCCCAGAACTGTGTCCATAATATATATATAGATTGACCTTAATTTTCCTTTTTTTTTTTTTTTTTTTTTCAAGATAGGGTTTCTTTGTGTAGCCCTGACTGCCCTGGAACTCGATCTGGAGATCAGGCTGGCTGGCCTTAAACTCTGAGATCTTCCTGCCTCTGCCTCCAAATGCTGGGCTTAAAAGGCATGCACCACCATGCCTGAATCCCAGGCTGTTTTTAAACCTTAGACTGGCTATGTAGGCAAGGCTGACCTTCGAACTCCTCATATCCTGATCATCTGATGTGCTGAGACAGGATCCAGGTGTGAACCATCATACTTGGCTCCTTAATCTGTTTAATTTTTTATTATTTTTAATAATGTTTAGGTATGTATGTCTGCAGGTGGGCGTGTGCGTGTGAGCACAGGTGTCTGGAAGTCAGAGGTGCTGATCTCTGCGATCTGGGGTTAACATGGTGCTGGGCACTGGAAACTGAACTGAGGCTCTCAGGAATGCAGCAAGTGTTCTTACCTGCTAGCTGTCTCCTGTAGGGAGAGACCCTGTATACCTGTACCGCTGACCATGGTCACGGGTATGGAGAGGGGTAGGATAAAGAATGAGGAGAGGAGGCGCTCCTCTCTCTCGGTGTTCAGGCCAGGTCTTGGAGGCATCCGGGATTGGACTTCTCGGAGTGCCAAATCTGGTTATTGGCTTTTCGTGTGAGTATCCCTTCTTAATAAATTACCAGTTAATAACCTATCCCGTGTTCCATCTTGTTCCCTTTCAGTCTCCAGCCACTGTTTTCAAGACGTATGATCTCTGGCCGGGTGGTGTCACGTGCCTTTAATCCCAGAATTTGGGAGGCAAAGGCAGGCAGATCTCTGTGAGTTCGAGGCCAGCCTGGTGTACAGTTAGTTCTAGGATAGCAAACATGCCTCAAAAAACCGTCTCCTCAAAACAAACAAACAAACAAACAAACACAAAACAAAAAGCCCTAAAATGTTTAAATCTCCTTCACCTTCTCCTTCTCTCTCTCTCTCTTCCGGCCTGGCTGGTGGCAGTCAAGCGCTGCCCACGGGGCTATATCTACAACTGCCAAAAATTACAAGCTATTTTAAACACTTGGAAAAAATACCCACTCTTCCTATTGAGCAAATCTTTCTTTTTCTTTTTCTATTGAGCAAATCTTAAAAACTTAGTTCACATTTTCTTCTGTCTCTTAAAAAAATAGGAAAATATGAACTATCCTGATAATGGAGCAATGATAAAGTGGGAAGGTTGTAAAAATACACTTTGTATCAGCCGATAGGGAAAAATTACCTTGTCAAACGCAAATACACTGATATACATATGATGTCACGAGACCGTGGCAGCAGGCACAGGGCCTGCAAAGGTTGAAGGCACATGGGACTTTTATTATTGTTTTTTGTTGTTTGCTAGTTTCCTAAAGAGAGAAAGAAAGAAAAACAAAAACAAAAAACGGGCATGGGGTTGGGTGGGTGAGTGGGGAGATTGGGAGGATCTGGGAAGAGTTGGGAGAGGGGAAGCCGTAATCAGAATATATTTCATGAAAAATAGTTTTTCAATAAAAGCAAAGCAACACAACAAACAAAAACAGAAACCCCAAACTACAGATCCCAGCAGCCCTGCACGGCAGGTGCTCTCCTGGGCAAACAGCCAATGAGAAGCTGTGTTTGCAAGGGGCTGGGTTGACGTCGGCTGTCGGAGCTGTCTGGTTTGGAAAGTGCTGCTGAAATGTAAAGAGCTTTGCGGTTACCCCGAAGCAGCTCACCGTGTCTGTGGCGCCGGCCAGGACTAGTCATCTCTTGCCAATGGATGCGATACTGAACTACAGGCCGGAGGGCACCGAGGACTACTACGCCCTTCTGGGATGCGACGAGCTCTCCTCGGTAAGCAGGATGGCGCACTCTCACCAGGTCGGCTTTGAGATTTTCGCCACATCTCCTGGAACCCCAGCCTCGCACCATTTTAAAGGAGTTTCGGTGTTGAGACGTTGAAGGATTTAAGTGCTTGAGGAGAGTGAACTTCCAAGTGTTAGGTGGGAGAGGGACCATATTCGGACAGTTTTAGTTACTTTAGAGCAGCGATTCTCAACCTATGCGTTTCGACATCTTAGGGATGCATATCAGATATTTACATTAGGGTCCCCAATAGTGGCAAAAATTACAGTTCTGAAGCAGCAACTAAATAGTTTTATGGTTGGGAGTCACCGCAACATGAGGAACTGTATTAAAAGGTCGAAGCGTTAGGAAGGATGAGAACCACTGCTCTAGAGAAACAATAAAGGCTGTGACTTTGAACTCAGCAGGCAGAGTCATCTGCCTGGCGACGCCTCTTTCAGTGAGCGTCTCATGGATTTGGGGAAATAACATTTTCTTACCATCGGTGTCTGCCTGTACCTAAGTGAATTCTGAAGAACGCAGTAGGGCTGTTACTGGCTACACATTCGTTTATGATTACAAGGTGCTTTGCTGAAAGTACGTTGTGGTTCTGTTATGGAAAACGTTATTATGGACAATATTAAAATGAATATATGTGCTATATAATATATACTAGTATGACATATGAGGAATCCAAGTACTATTATAACTTCAAATCACTTAAATCAAGTTATATGTAATATCTGACGGGAGATTTTTCTTTTATAGTTGGAACAAATGTGTTATTCTTTTAAAGACTTATTTATTACTTTTATGTACATGTGTGAGTTCCTACATGCATATATGTATGTATGTATGTATGTATGTATGTATGTATGTATGTGTTCTGTTTGCCTGCATAGGGATACTCTGTACTTGGAATTATGTAAACTTATTCAATCCTATAGCCTGCATTACATTTAAAAATATTTATTATTTATTTATTTATGTAGTTTTAGACAGAGCTCACTATATAGCCCTGGGTGGCCTGGTACTAACTATGAAGGCCAGGCTGGTCTTGAATTCACAGACATCAGCTTGCCTCTTCTTCACAGGTGATGGGATTAAAGGCATGTGCCACCATGCCCAGCCACAAGGTGAATAGTTATACCTAGTTTAAAGAAATATACTATTATAGATACATATGTTTTTATTTTAATTTTTTTCACTGAACCTTGTATGTTGGGCCAAATCTTTGGCCCAAGATGAAGTCACTTAAGACACCAAGATGAGGGCTGGAGAGGTGGCTCAGAGGTTAAGAGCACTGCCTGCTCTTCCGGAGGACCAGGAGTTCAACTCCCAGCACCTACATGGTGGCTCACAACCACCTATAATAATGAGATCTGGTGTCCTCTTCTGGCATGCAGGCAGAACACTGTATACATAATAAATAAATCTTAAAAAAAGAAAAAAAAGAGACACCAAGATAGATGATCCAGGTACAACCTACTGCTTTTCTAATGGCCATCCTCCATCCATCCCCCCAAAATAATTTTGCCTACTGTAGTCCTTTTTTGCCTGTAACAGTTCCTTTCCCCTTAATGCTCCCCTGCCACATTCTTGCCCAACTAAAATCACCCTGTAAAACCCCAAACTCCTTTTCAGCGATGCTGTACTCCCTTCTGTTGGGGACAGAGCTGCAGTTTGTATTCTGGTGAAAGCCTTGCCTTTTGGTTTCATGGTGGCTCTGATGATCTGTTTCTCTCTATAAGCCATACATTATAGAGCTAAATTCCTGTCCAATTTCAGATTTTCTCTCAAACTTTTAGAACTAGAATGGTTGGATCAAAGAGTAGGAATATTTATAATATGCATAATATATTCTTTGCATATATGCATTATATATGTGTGCTTTAGTTCAGTTTTAGAAATGTGCATTTACTTAAGGTTCAGGAGAGCACTGAACCTCCAGAAACACTGGTCATGTTCCGTCACCCTCTGATGTCTTGGTTTATTTGACTGGTAGTAAAATTAAACATGGTTTCTGTTTACTGCCAGCAGGATAGGCAGCTGTGCAGACAGATCACTAGATCAGAAAGCAGGGCCTGGTAGACCTTGGCGTAAAGTCTGTCCATGGACTGCATTTGACCCTGGGGATGTGGGGTGGGGACAGCAGGTGAGAACTAGAGCACACAGGAAACAAACCAGCCTCCTTTACTGGTTTACTCAGGGTCAGCTCCACAGATAGTTTGTGTTTAACCCTGAAGTAATTAAAGACAGGTATCAGCTATTTTTTCTTAACTTGGCAGAGCTAAAAAACTATAAAGAAGGGCCAGGTGGTGGTGGCACACGCCTTTAGTCCCAGCACTCGGGAGGCAGAGGCAGGTGGATCTCTGTGAGTTCGAGACCAGCCTGGTCTACAAGCCCTAGTTCCAGGACAGCCTCCAAAGCCACGGAGAAACCCTGTCTCAAAAAACTAAAAAAGCAAAAAAAACAAAAACAAAAACAAACAAAACAAAAACCTATAAAGAAGGAAGTAGCAATGACATGTTAGCACTGTCAGTTTGCTTCCATAGACTGGTACCATACTGTTTAAAATGTACTTTTACATGTGTGTTTGTATATAGGTATGTTTGCACGCCTGTATCCACATCATGCAGAAGTCAGAGGGCAAGTTGTGGGAGTTCTTTCCTTCCATGATATGGGTCTTGAATTCAGGTCATAGTGCTTGGACACTGAGCCATCTCATTGGCCTCAGATGCTGTTTTCCTTTCTTTCTTTCTTTCTTTCTTTTTTTTTTTTGAGGCAGGGTTTCTCTGTGGCTTGGAGGCTGTCCTGGAACTAGGTCTTGTAGACCAGGCTGGTCTCGAACTCACAGAGATCCACCTGCCTCTGCCTCCTGAGTGCTGGGATTAAAGGCGTGAGCCACCAACCCCCGGCCTTCCTTCCTTCCTTCTTTCCTTCCTTCCTTCCTTCCTTCCTCTCTCTCTCTCTCTCTCTCTCTTACGGTCCATCTCTCTCTACATAGCCCTGGCTATCTTGGAACTCACTATATAGCCCAGGCTAGTCTCAAATTCACAGAGATGTGCCTGTCTCTGCCTTCCAAGAACTTGGCTCTCTAGGATACTTTCTTTCTTTCTTTTTTTTTTTTTTTCAAGACAGGGTTTATTGACATTTACAAAGTGGAGTCAGAAATAGGTTGATAAACTGTAGTTTATTGGGAAAAAGTACTCACGAAAGGGAGCCAGTGACCAGGTTTGCACTGGAGCAGGATGGACCCACAAAATGCTTCCTAGTCAGCTCAACCAGTGAAAGAGAGCCTCATGTTTGCCTCCCCCACCCCAAGACAGGGTTTCTCTGAGTAGCTTTGGAGCCTATCCTGGCACTCACTCCGGAGACCAGGCTGGCCTCGAACTCCCAGGACTCAAGAGTGAATCAGTCTAAAAGAGTAACAGAGCTCATGCCTTTAATCCCAGCACTAGAAAGGTATATAAGGAAGAAACAAATTCAGTCTTAAGACTTAGTCTCCAGCCACATTGAGGAGAGCATAGCAGTTTAGGATTCTGCAGCTTGGAGAGCAGTGCAGTGTGGAGATGTAATCTGAGGTTAGGTGGATCACCCCTTCGATCTGAGCATTGATAGAGGTGAGAACTCTCTAGTGCTGGCCACTTTGCATCTCTGATCTTCAGCTTGAACCCCAATATCTGTCTCTGGGCTTTTATTATTTGTGCTACAGCTACCAGACAGTTGAAGACATTTGATTCTCTTATAATGTACAATTGTGCATTTGTGGGTATAAAGGCCAGAGGTTGATGTTGGCATCTTACTCCATTGCTTTCCACCTTTTTTTTTTTTTTGAGACAGTCTTAGCTTACCAAACTCACCTGACGAGCTGGATAGCGAGCCCCAAGTTCTCCAGTCTGCACCCCTCCACTGGGATTGCTGGGGTGGGTCTCCAGGCTGATTTTTACGTGAGTGCTAGGCATTGAACTCAAGTCTTCTTCATGGTTCTCAACCTGTGGGTTTCAACCCCTTGGATCACATGTCAGATATTTACATTATGATTCATAACAGGAACAAAATGATAGTTATGAAGTAATTTGGTAGTTGGAGGGTCACCACAACACGAGGAACTGTGTTAAAGGGTTGCATCATTACGAAGGTTGAGAACCAGTTTCCTCAGTTTATCTTTGTTATTTGAAACACTGATTTTTGTTTTAGGTTGAGCAAATCTTGGCAGAATTTAAGGTCAGAGCTCTGGAATGCCATCCTGACAAGCATCCAGAAAACTCCAAAGCTGGTAAGAATTTACTAATGGCTGTTTCTTTTTTTCTTTTTTTGAGACAGGGTTTCTCTGTGTAGCTTTGGAGCCTATCCTGGCACTTGATCTATAAACCAGGCTGGCCTCGAACTCACAGAGATCAGCCTGCCTCTGCCTCCCAAGTGCAGGGATTAAAGGTGTGCTCCCCCACAGTCCAGCTGTGCAGGGGTTATCTTGATTAGGTTAACTTTAGTGAGAAGAGTGAGGCTGAGGAAGGTGCACTATTCCTGGGCTGGGGTCCCGGATGTCGTAAAAAGGAGGCTGAGCAGGGTGGTTCATCCCTTGTTGATTCCTGACTGTGAGTCATGTGACCAGCTGCCTCAAGTTCTGCCAAGACTCTTGCCGTGATGGACTCTACCCTGGAATTGTGAGCCAAAATAAGCCCTTCTTTCCTTGAGCTGCATTTGTGAGGGCATTTTATCAAAACAACAGGAATGGAAACTGATACACCCTTATTGCATGTAAAGCAATTGTCACTAGTTGTCTTCCCAGGACATTTAGAGATACACCCTTTCCTGCTGTGAGCACCCCCTTTTTTCCCCCCATTTTATCTCCATCTCTTACAGTCCCATGTAAGAGCTTCATTTTTGATGCTGTGATAAAATGCCTGACAAAAAGTAAGTTAGAAGAGAAAGGGTGCATTTTAGCTTACCATTCCAGGTCACAGTTTATCATTTTGGGGAAGTTAAGGCAGGAACTTGAAGCCATTAGTCACATCATGAACAGAGTTGTTCAAGACCTTGAGCCTTTTTTTTCCCTTTAATATTATGTATACAATATTCTGGCGTGCAGGAATATATGCATGTCAGATGCATATATGCATACATATTAAATGAATGAATGAACAATAAATAAATCTTAAAGAACAAAACCAGAGTGAAATGAATGCATGCATGCTTAGTACTCAGCTAGCTTTCTCTGCTTTATATAGTTCAGGCCCCAAACCAGTGCTGCCCACACTCAGGCTGTGTCTTCCACATCAGTTAAGGTGGTTATACAGAGACATGCATGAAAACCGACCTGATCTAGACAATCTCTTATATGAGTCGGCTTTACTAGTGAAATACCTGAGATCATTAACTCATTCAAAAGAAAGAAAAAAGGAGCCAGATGTAGTGGGGCATACCTTCATCCTAGCATTTGGGAGGCAGAGGCAGGTGGACCTCTAAGTTCAGGACTTCCTGGTTTACATAGTGAGTTCCAGGCCAGCTAGGGTTGCATAGTGAGTCCCTGCATAAACAAACAAACAAACATACAAACCTGTTATTTGGTCATCTGGTCCTGGTGGATTTTTTTTAACATTTTAAAATATTTCTCACGAGGGGTGGTTGCATAAACAATAAGATAAATCTTGGAATAAGTTTCTAATACACAAACTCTTACATTTGTGTCAGTTTTTTATTTTATTTTTTTGGTTTTTTGAGACAGGGTTTCTCTGTGGCTTTGGAGGCTGTCCTGGAACTAGCTCTTGTAGACCAGGCTAGTCTCGAACTCACAGAGATCCACCTGCTTCTGCCTCCCGAGTGCTGGGATTAAAGGCATGCACCACCACCGTCCGGCAAGTTTTTTAAAAATATATGATTTAGTAGGCATCAAATTAATTTATTCATTCTCTATATTTTTTTCTTTTTGAAATGGGGTTTCTTTATGTATCCCTGGCTGTTCTGCAACTCTTATATGTAGGCCAGGTTGGTCTTGAACTCAGAGATCTTCCTTCGTCTGTTTCCTTAATGCTGGGTCTAGAGGTGTGTGCCACCATGCCTAGTGTTACATTTTTTAAAAAGTTAGCATATAAAGTAGTACGTTTCATGGTGGCATTTTCTTGTGTGTGTGACCATACTTTATTTTAGCTCACCCCACCCCAAATTTACTCTCTTATATGTGGAAATCTAGTTATATAACCCTACTTGCTGAAAAGGCTGTTTTGTTTTGTTTTGTTTTCCCACAGTTGAATTGTCTTGGCATTCTTGTCAAAATATCAGCTGATTATAAATATTAGGATTGAGTTTAGGATCCTTCATTCTTTTCTTCTCTGTGTAGTGCTGTGGATCTCCGTGGACCTCTGACCACTGAGTAGCCCTGTGGACCTTTGTCCACTGTGTATAGCCCTGTGGACCTTTGTCCACTGTGTATAGTCCTGTGGACCTCTGACCACTGAGTAGCCCTGAGGATCTCTGTCCACTGTGTATAGCCCTGAGGACCTTTGTCCACTGTGTATAGCCCTGAGGACCTTTGTCCACTGTGTATAGCCCTGAGGATCTTTGTCCACTGTGTATAGCCCTGAGGACCTCTGTCCACTGTGTATAGACCTGTGGACCTCTGACCATTGTGTATAGCCCTGTGGACCTTTGTCCACTGTGTATAGCCCTGAGGACCTCTGTCCACTGTGTATAGCCCTGTGGACCTCTGACCACTGAGTAGCCCTGTGGACCTCTGACCACTGTGTATAGACCTGTGGACCTCTGACCACTGTGTATAGCCCTGAGGACCTTTGTCCACTGTGTATAGCCCTGTGGACCTTTGGGCATTGTATAGACCTGTGGACCTCTGACCACTGTGTATAGCCCTGAGGACCTTTGTCCACTGAGTAGCCCTGTGGACCTTTGTCCACTGTGTATAACCCTGTGGACCTTTGGGCATTGTATAGCCCTGAGGACCTTTGTCCACTGTATATCCCTGTCACTCACCATTCTTTCTTTGGCGCTGGGTCCTGCAGCTGCCTAGGCAGTTTCAGCTTCATGTGAATCACTGGGATTCTTTCCTTAGTTGTTGTCTGACACTACTCACTCTGTACTCACTCTGACTGAAAGCAACAGAAGGGGTTTTTCCTATAAACAAAATTATGTTTGTTTTTTTTTTTAATTCTGTCTCTCCTGCTAATAATGTCAGTTGTTTTACATCTGTGTCATTAGCACCTGGACATCCCTGGGGCCCAGTTAAAGCAGGGGCTAAACTGCATGTCAAGGTCTCATTGTCTTCAAAATTTAAGTTACATTTATTTATTTATTATTGATTTCACATGTGCCACAGGGCATGTGTGGAACTCAGAGGACAGCTTGCGTGAGTCACATGTCTCCTTCCATATGTGTGTCTTGGGGATTGAACTTGGGCTTCAGGGCCTTTACTCCCCAAGCCATCTCACCACCCCTCACTGTCTTCCTCTGATATACTTTACAAATGAGGACATGACAGCTGGAGAGATGGCTCAGAGGTTAAGATCACTGGCTGCTCTTCCAGACCTCCTGAGTTCAATTCCCAGCAACCACATGGTGGCTCACAACCATCCATTATGAGATCTGCTGCCCTCTTCTGGTGTGCAGGAATATATGCAGACAGAACACTGTATACATAATAAGTAAATAAATCTTTTTTTTTTTTTTTTTTGGTTTTTTGAAACAGGGTTTCTCTGTGTAGCTTTGGAGCCTATCCTGGCACTCGCTCTGGAGACCAGGCTGGCCTCGAACTCACAGAGATCCACCTGCCTCTGCCTCCTGAGTGCTGGGATTAAAGGCGTGTGCCACCAACACCCGGCCTTAGTAAATAAATCTTAACAAAACAAAACAAAATAAATGAGGACACTAAAACTGACTAGGGAGGCTGTCCCAAAGTCTCACAGTGTGTGGCCCAGCTCAGATTCTATTGAGATCTGGTGGATGGTTTTGGAGTTTAATCCTCCAGGAGAGCAGTGTTCATCTTCTGTCCTGTTTTCCAGTGGAGACTTTTCAGAAATTGCAGAAGGCAAAGGAGATTCTGACCAACGCGGAGAGCCGAGCCCGCTATGACCATTGGCGGAGGAGCCAGATGTCCATGCCATTCGAGCAGTGGGATGCTTTGGCCGACTCAGTGAAAACTGTGAGTTTTTCTCTGGGGATCCTGGGGCTTTTGAGGCCAGGCTGCTCATGGTTTAGCCTAAAGAATAAGTGGAAGGAAAGGACCAAGAAATTAGCGGCAAGTCATTGCTTACGAAACCCTGTGAGGCGAAAATAGGAAATAGAAAATAGGAGGAGAGACCACCAGAATCAGCGCTCGAAGGGCCCTTGGCTGTATTCTTTGTCTCTTTGACTGTTTGTTTCACTTCCTGTTACTGTCTTTACCTCATTCTAAGATTTCTTGGGCTGGAGAAATGGCTCAGAAGTTGAGAGCACTGGCTGCTCTTCCAGAGGACCTGGGTTCAATTCCCAGAACCTACATGGCAGCTCACAAACTGTAACTCCAGTTCCAGGAGACCTGACACCTTCACATCAATGCACATAAAATAAAAGTTAAATAAATAAATAAATAAATAAATAAATATTTCTCATAGCCAGCCAGTGGTGTTCCATGTCTTTAATCTGAGAACTCGGGAGGCAAAGGCAGGTGGATCTCTGTGATTTCGAGGCCAGTGTGGTCTACAGAGTGAGTTCCAGGACAATCTCTAAAGCTACAGAAAAACCCTGTCTCAATAAAACAACAAAAGAAGATTTCTCATAATTGTGCTCATCAGATTGCTTGTGTAACTGAATTTTGAACTGTTGAAAATCTTTTCCTTGAATCTTGAAAAAAAAATTTTTTTTTTTTCCCCGAGACAGGATTTCTCTTTGTTTTTAGAGGCTGTCCTGTAACTAGCTCTTGTAGACTAGGCTGGTCTTGAACTCACAGAGATCCTCCTGTCTCTGCCTTTTGAAAAAACAACAACAAAAATAAACAACAAAACAAAATAAAACAAAACAAAAAGATGTATTCCGTGTGTGTATGTGTCTGTGTTTTTGTCTCCATGTAATGCCATGTGTATATTCTCATGAAGAGGGCATTAGATGTGTGGAGTTGGAGTTCCATGGATGCTGGGAGCCAAAGTTGGTCCTCTGCAAGAGCAGGAAGCACTCTACTTCAGAGCTATCCTTTATCTCTTCTGTTGTTGTTTGAGCTTGTTTACTTAACAAGGCTTGGACATCTATAATAAAGCAGGATGCAATTATTCCTATCATATGGTGGTAAAGAGTTATTGCACTTAGGAGGTATTGTGTTATTTCTTTTTATTTATTTCTTTTTATTTTATGAGCATTAGTGTTATGTCTGTGTGAGGGTATTGGGTCCCCTGGAAATGGAGTTAGAGATAATTATGAGCTGCCATGTGGGTGCTGGGAATTGAACCCAGGTCCTTTGGAAGAGCAGTTAGTTTATGCTCCCAGCTGCTGAGCCATCTCTCCAGCTCTGTATTGTGTTATTTCTAAATGCCATTAAAAACTTACATACAGGAGCTCAGTGGTTAGGAGCTCCTGCTGCTCTTCTGGAGGACCCAAGTTTGATTTGCAGTACTTATATGGTGGCTCACAACTGTGTGGAACTCCATTTCCAGGGGCTCTGATGCCCTCTTCTGGCATCTGTGGGCATCAGACACTTGCTATTTCTGAGGACCAAGGTTTGGTTCCTAGAGCCCATGCTAGGTGGCTCATAACTGCCTGTAACTCCAATTCAGAATGTCTGATGCCCTCTTCTGGCTTATGAGGGCACCCACACACATGTGGCATTCTTCACATACATATATATAAGTAAAAATACATCTTAAAAATATAGTAGTGCTTAGCTTTACATAGTCAGAAATAAGGTTATTTTCCTTTATTCATGTGCATGTGAAATGTGGTGTATGAGTGCCCGTGTGTGTGTGTGTGTGTGTGTGTGTGTGTGTGTGTGTGTGTGTGTGTGTGTGTGTCACTGTGAGTGCACTCATGTGTGTTGACACTGAGTATTTCCCTTGATTAGTTCTGCCTTATATATTGCGTCAAGATCTCTAACTTGAACCCAGAGATTGCTTCTTTGTGTAGTCTAGGTAATCAGTTTCCTCTGGGGATTTCCTTTATCTGCAGATGAGTAGGGGGTTACAGACAGGCCATCATCCCTCCCCAACATTCATGACAGTGTTGGGGATTTGAACCGTGGTGCTCAAGGAAGCGCTTTCCCCACAGAGCCATTTCTCCAGCCTTTGCTTTTCATTGTGCCTTTCCATAATTCCTCGAGACTGGCTTAGTAAACATTGTTCTACAAAGTCAACACAAATGTCTCTCCAGCCTCCTAAATGTGAGACACCGTTAACTATTGCTGAATCAGTTACCTTGCTTGTCCAATGCCTTCTGGTTTATAGCTCTTTACTTTTCCATGATCTACTTAATTTTTAACATCCAATATCAGGTTAGCTACAGATTTTTCTATAATTTCTCTCCAAGTTTCCTCTTTTATCTATATTGCCATTGTCTTTTTATTTGCTATTAGTTTCCTAACTCACACTCAGTGTTTTGGTTTTGGGTTTAGCATAACCATGCACTGTTTGAGCCTTTAGTAGTTATATTTTATATCTTATTGGCCACATTTCTCTTGTCACTAAAGTTGAAGTAGTATGAAATTTGGTTTTAGGTTTATTTTTGTTAGTGATACAAAAATGATGAGTTCTATATTTTTTCTTTAATCAGCAGTGGGGCTGGGTGTGGTGTTGCATTCAGGCAGCAGACAAAAAGCAAAACAAAACAAAACACATCCACTAAATCAGGAGTAGGGGCTTGAGAGATGGCTCAGTGCTTAAGAGCACTTGCTTCTCTTGCACAGGACCAGGGTTCTGTTCCCAGCATCACTGTCTGGCAGCTCACAATGGTCTGTAGCTCCAGCTCCAGGGGATTTGATGTCTCTGGGCTCTGAGAGTCTGCACTCATGTACACATACCCACATGCAAATGAACACGGCTATACATAATTAAAGTAATAAAAAAATCTTAAAAACATTTTAAGAATTCACCTAACCCAATGAATATGTTGTAAGATTAAACATGTGATGTTGGTTTAAAAATGATAGATACAAGGGGCTGGAGAGATGGCTCAGTGGTTGAGAGCACTGGCTGCTCTTCCAGAATACCTGAGTTTTGTATTTATTTGTTACATATATTTCTCTCTCTCTCTCTCTCTCTCTCTCTCTCTCTCTCTCTCTGAATGTATGTATAGATACGTGTCTGCCGTGGTATAGAGATCAGCTGACAACTTTCAGAAAAGTCAGTGTTCTGTATCCACCATGTGGGTTCCACGGATCAAACTCAGCTTTTCAGGGTTGGCAACAGGGAACAGGGACCTTTACCAACTGAGCCATGGTAACAGATGTGTATCTCATTTTTATATTATTTTATTTTTTATGTTTTTTTAATTGGAGGCTTAATAAATCAGCTCTTTCTAGGAGGGCTTTGGGGCTGTCCTGTTACCCTGCAAAGACCTATTTGCCTATTGGTTGTTTCTGAGTTCCTGGCTGGATGAGGTATCTTTGTGGGGAGTCCAGTTGGCCACAGGCTACCTGCGGGAGTTTCCTCCTATGCCCAGATGGACACTGTTTCTCTAGCCAGATGGGAAACAGGGAGCAAATGAACATATTCTGTGCAAAAGACAGGCTGTCCTGCTTTGATGTTATCCAAGAGTAAGCAGGTCAGAGATCAACCACTCAGGCAAGTTAAAAATTCACTCCTGGTGATCCAGGATAAAAATAACTGATTTTGGGGGCTGAAGAGATGGCGCAGTGGTTAAGAGCGTGGGCTCAATTCCAAGCACAGCCTTGGTTCAATTCCCAGTACCCACATGTTGGTTTATAATTGTAACTCCAGTTCCAGGGGATCTGATGCCCCTCTTCTGGTGTCTTTGGACACCAGCCATGCATGTGGTGCACAGAGATATATGCAAACACCCATATACATCAAATCATACTTTGAAAAAAAAAAGAGCTAACTTTGTTCATTATTCAGCTGAGTTGTGGCTCATGGGAGCCAATTGTTCCATTTTTCTTATTCCATTGTTTAGTGGAATGCAGATTAAAAAATAGTATTTGCTAGTGTTGACTAATGTCCAGAATGTATGATAACTACTTCCTAAAGAAAAAAAAAGGTTCATTAAGGAAAACTGGTAAACAAGTTAATTGTGAGTGGAACATAACACTTTCATTTTGAGAGAGAGGCATCATCTACAGGTTTCTTGGTTGACTTGTGACATTTACTTTTCTTTTCCCGACTACAAGGATTGAACCCCTGGCCTTATGCATGTTGCCAGGGACTCCATCATGGAGCTTTATCCCTAGTCTTTATTATTTCCTGGGTTTTATTCTCTGATTAATTTTTTTCCATTTATTTATTCATTTACTGTGTGTATGTGTGCATGCTCATGCATTGTGTGCGTGTGCGTGTGCGTGTGCGTGTGTGTGTGTGTGTGTGTGTGTGTGTGTGTGTGTGTGTGTGTGTTTATGGTCAGGCTTGCTGACAAGCTCCTTTAGCAATGATCCATTTCACTGGCCCTGACTTGTGACTTTTATATTTCACATTTCAATTTTCTCAGCTTAGGTTTTTGTTTGTTCATTTGTTTTAAGACAAGATCTCACTATGTAGCTATGTACACCAGGCTAGCCTCAGACTTAGAGATTTACTTGCTTTTGTCTCTGCCTCTTGAGTGAGTGCCACATGCTTAGCTTTTTTTTTTTTTAATTCTTGAATTCTTATTTTCTTGTTTTTCGTAGTCCTCATCCTCCACGTTTGTGGTTGATGATTAAACCCAAGGTCTCTCACAGGCTTAGCAAGCACTCTACCACTGAACTATCCCCAGCCTTTCAGGAAGAAGATGGACTTTTCTCGCCTTCTCTGTTCTGTACATGCACATTACAACAACGCATCATAACAACACACCCAGAACAAAAGCCCAGTGGCTCAAGGCTAGCCTGGGCTAATGTGATGGTTTGAAGGAAAATGGCCCCCAAAGGGAATGGCACCATTAGGAGGTGTGGCCTTGTTGGAGGAAGTGTGTCACTGTGGAGGTGGGCTTTGAGGTCTCCTGTGCTCAAGCCATGCCCGGTGTCTCAGACTACTTCCTGTTGCCTGCGAAAATGATGTAGGAAACTCTGCTACTTTTCCAGCACTATGTCTGCCTGCACATCACTATGTTACACCATTGATGATAATGGACCAACTCTCTGAAAATGTAAACCATCCCAATTGAATATTTTTCCTTTGTAAGAGTTGCTGTGGTCATGGTGTCTCTTCACAGTAATAGAAACCTTAATTAAGACACCTACATATGAAGAAAAAAAAAAAGACAAGGGCTGGTGAGATGTCTCAGTGTATAAAGATGTTTACAGCATGTGATCCCCAGAAGGCCCTTGGTGGAAGGAGAGAATAGGCTCTGGAAAGCTGTCTTTTGCTCCGCCCCACATGCACTCCCCCAAGTAATAGCCACATGTGAGAAACAAATCCCAAATAACATTTATGTGTCTACTTTTATTTAATCTAGTCAATGCACTGGGCTGTCAGAAGTAAGAAAGACTTGATGCTGGAAGGAATGGACCAGACTTACACCAACACAGTTCAAAACAAGGAACAGAATGAACAGAGAGAAACAAAGAAAGGAGAGCCAGATTCAACCACAGAGAAAACGAGGCAAAAGGAGTCTGGATCCCCAGAAAAGGCCATCGCCCCACAAAACCCAGGCTCTCCAGGTAAGTTATGTCACAAGAGAAGACTGGAAATCAGGGAGCATGGGTTGTATTACAGCTAAACCTGTTCTAGTATGCACAGCAATGCCAATTTAAGAACTGGTTTAGCACTGGGTAGTATGGGTACATGGCTTTAATCCCAGTGGTTGGGAGGCAGAGGCAGCCGGATCTCTGTGAGCTAAAGGCCAACCTGGTCTACAAAGCTAGTTCCAGGACAGCCAGAGTTGTTACACAGAGAAATCCTATCTCGTGTGAACTCGCCCCCCCCCCCCCCCCCCCCCCGCCAAAAAAAAAGAATTAATTTATCATCTTAAAAATCATTAGCCATGTAAACTAAACTGGCTTGGCACTCAGAGATGTGCTGGCCTCTGCCTCCCGAGTGCTGGGATAAAAGTGCCATCACACCTTGGCTTCCTTTTTCTTTTTTCTTTTTGGTTTATCAAGGCAGGGTTTCTCTATGTAATAGCCCTGACTGTTCTGAACTCACTCTGTAGACCAGGCTGTTCTTGAACTCACAGAGATCCACCTGCCTCTGCCTCTCAAGTGCTGGGATTAAAGGTATGTGCCACTATGGCCTGGCTGGGTCACTTTTTAAGAAGGGACATGAAGTAAGCAGGTAAGGAGTGGGCCTAGGAGAAGTTAGGGAGAGGAGTAGAAAGGTAGAAAGGTAGATATGGTCAGAATATACTGTATGAAATCCCCAAAGAACTCATAAAAATATTATTAAAAATGCCCACCTTGGGAGAGGATGATTATTAAGCATGTGAGGTCCTCATATATATATGTATTGTAATTTCTGTTCATAAGAATGCCAAAGTATGGTTAAGGTCAGGTAACCTGTTTCTATAAAATATGAATAATTTGCTGTGTGTGGTGGTGCATGACTTTAATCTCAGTACTCAAGAGTTAGAGGCAGGCAGATCTTTGTGAATTCCAGCCTAGTTTTTTTTTTTAATGATTTATTTAAATCTATTTTATATGCATTGGTGTGAAGATGTCAGATCCCCTGGAACTGGAGTTACAGACAGTTGTGAGCTGTCATGTAGGTGCTGGGAATTGAACCCTGGTCCTCTGGAAGAGCAGCCAGTGCTCTTAACAACTGGGCCATCTCTCCATTCCCAGCCTAGTTTTCATAGTGAGTTCCCAGGTCAGTCAGGCTACATAGTGAGACCCTGTCTTAAAAAAAAGCATAATTCGGGGCTGGAGAGATGGCTCAGAGGTTAAGAGCGCTGACTGCTCTTCCAGAGGTCCTGAGTTCAATTCCCAGCAACCACATGGTGGCTCACAACCATCCATTATGAGATCTGGTGCCCTCTTCTGGTGTGCAGATATACACGGAAGCAGAATGTTGTATACATAATAAATAAATAAAATCTTAAAAAAAAAAAGCATAATTCATACAGGAGGCTATGTCTCATGCCTACTGGTTGCAGTGGAGTTTGTCCCCAAGTTGTTTTACTACTGTAGTTTGATTCTTCTTCTACCACCTTGGATTTGAAGTGTTTCTCTTGCCTCTTTCAGATTTGAACTGTGGCCACCTTCGTTTCCGCTGGTCTGGTGACCCTCCCTCAGAACTCCTGAGAAAGTTCCGAAACTATGAAATCTGAAGTGTTGCTGCTCTGCGAGAGAAGCAAGGCAGTCGGTCGTCTATGCTGCCGATGTGCAGCTTTCATTTATGTCTTAAAAATGTTTGTGAGTTGCTCAGGACAGTCAGGTCCTCCGTCCTTGAACCCATTCTCACTTGTACTTTGTTTCATCTTGTGCTGGGGATTGAACCCAGTACCTCCTGTACTCCCTGTGTCATTGACTCCTGCCCCTTAACATGCTGTTTAAGTGAGAAAGTTGTTATATAAACCTAGTTTCTTTCAATTTTTGAGTAAACTAAGGCTTCTAGATCTAAGTAGTTTGTATTATATGCATTTTCCTGTTAATGCTGTTTGTAAATATCTGTTAAAAAATCATTCCCTGAGCTGGGCAGTGGTGGCGCACACCTTTAATCCCAGCACTGGGGAGGAGAGGCAGGTGGATCTCTGTGAGTTCAAGACCAGCCTGGTCTACAAGGGCTAGTTCCAGGACAGCCTCCAAAGCCACAGAGAAACCCTGTCTCAGAAAAAAAAAAAATCATTCCCCCTGTTGGTGTACCGTGATCTCTAGCCATGCTAGACATCTGGATTTTGGCTTAAAATGAAATGTAGAATAACTTGTCTGAATTTCTTAGACTGAAATAAACAATTCCCCCAAAGTTCATAAATGTGTTTATAATGCAACTGTGTTCATTCATTCATTTGTTCATTCTTTGGTGTAGATTTTTGTGTGGAGTCTTACCATGTAGCATAGGCTAGCCCTGAACTCTCTATGTAGTTTATCTTCAAATCATCCTAACTCTTTGTTTCCTGTGGACTGGCAAGATGGTACAGAGAGTAAGGGAAGTTGCTTCCAAGACTGACAACCTGATTTCCATCCTCAGGACCACTCTGGAAAGTTGACCTGTGACCTCCACACATGCAGTGTGGCATGAGCACACCCACACCCAAATTCAATGGATGAATACATGTAATTTAGAAAATATGTTTTCTGGGCTGGGGAGATTGCTCAGAGGTTAAGGGCACTGACTCCAGAGGACCCATGTTCAAAGCCCAGCACCCACATGCAACTCAACACTCTAACTCCAAGATCTGACACTCTCACACAGATGTACCTGCAGGCAAAACACACACACACACACACACACACACACACACACACACACACACACACACGTATATTAAATAAAAAAAAGACTTAAAAAAAAGAAAATGTTTCCTTGCCAGATGTGACACACACCTGTCATATCAGCAATTGGGAAGTGGAAGCAGAAGACCAGGAGTTCAAGGCCAGCTGTGTCTATATAGCCACTAGACAGCATGGGCTACAGGAAACCCATCTCAATAAAACCAAACCAAAGCGGAAAAAGCAAGCCATAAAATGCTTACTTTTATGAAATGTCAGTGCAGATGGTATTACTTCTCCATAGCTGCTATAACAAAACACCACTGGTGACTTAATCGTGCCTTATACTTTGTAGAGTTGAAAGTCCAGATTCAAGGGATGGACACTTTGTTTTTGAGGCTGTCCTTGTTGTGCAAGTGGCTGCCTTCTTGGCTGCACTCTCAAACTGTCTTCTCTGTTCAGCTGAGTCCTTGGTGTGTCTGCCTCTTCATATGAAGACACAGCTATACCAGATAAGGACACATTTTTTCCACAACTTTATTTTTAACTTATTTCTATCTTTTTTTAAAAAAATGGATCTACAGATAATGTACTGGGGCTTGGTACTTCAACTTGTCAATTTTGGAGCACACAATTCACTTCAAAATAATAATAATAATAATAATAATAATAATAATAATAATAATAAGAGCACCCTCTATCTCTGATAAAATTCCTCAGTTTGGTGGTGGTGGCGCACACCTTTAGTCCCAGCACTTGGGAGGCAGAGGCAGGCGGTTCTATGAAGCTACTTCCAGGACAACCTGGGCTGTTTACACAGAGAAACCCTGTCACAAAAAAGCCCAAAAATTAAATTAAAAAATAAATAAGAGAATATAACCTTGTGCTGTATCCCTTAGTTTTACCTGAATTTTTGCTGTTTTGTCATCCGTAAGGCAATTTAGAGAATAATTTCTATCAATATTTTACAATGTCAGTAAATGTAATTTGGCATTGTCAATTGTGTGTGTGTGTTTGTACAAATTTTATTTTAAAAAATGGGAAATAAGGGCTGGAGAGATGTCTCAGAGGTTAAGAGGACTGGCAGCTGCTCTTCAAGAGGTCCTGAGTTCAATTCCCAGTAACCACATGATGGCTGACCATTATGAGATCTGGTGCCCTCTTCTGGCCTATGCAGGCAGAACCCTATGCATAATATATAAATTTTAAAAAAAGGGAAAATAAATGCACAAAAAAATATGAGTGAGATGGGCTCTCAGACAATCGATTTCTTCTGCACAGCCATGGGCCCAGCACTACCCAGTGTTGTAGCAAATAGGCAGATTTTCAATCCAAGAATCACTTTTATTTTTTCCCCTGCTCCATTCCCGTTTTATCTTTTAACAACATGTCAAAGGAGAAAGCCCTCTCAGCCCCAAGAGTAGCTCTGTTTTGATTATAGACCTCACCCCCCCCCTGACAAGATCTTGGTTTTTGTTGACCTGCTGCTGTTGCTTAAGGAAGAGCTGCACTTGGCCACTTGGCCGCTGCTCATACAGGTCAGCCTTGTGTGAAGCCTCTAACACACACAACCCTTTACACATAAACCACTGAGTACCGACCCAAGTTTTTTTTTTTTTTTTTTTAAATGAATCGGACTGTGCTTAGGTATTACAGTCTTTTTTGTTGTAGTTGTTTGTTTGTTTGTTTTTTGTTTTTTTCGAGACACAGGGTTTCTCTGTGGCTTTGGAGACTGTCCTGGAACTAGCTCTTGTAGACCAGGTTGGTCTCGAACTCACAGAGATTCACCTGCCTCTGCCTCCCGAGTGCTGGGATTAAAGGTGTGCGCCACCAACGCCTGGCAGTATTACAGTCTTTTAAATGGAGACTAGATGGAAAATTTGGTCAATGTTTCTTCAATACTTTGAATTGCCCAGTGTGTCCAGCACAACCACAGTTGGCTGTGTGTACAATTGTGCAATTTGAATGTCACTTTCTGTGAATTGTGCCTCCACTCATGTCATAGGAAACTGATTATGGAAAGATAATCTTATGTGAGATTGATAGGCTCTTTATTTATTTATTTATTTATTTATTTATTTATTTATATTTTGTATGCCTTGGTGTTTTGCCTGCATGTAAGTCTGTGTGAGGGCAGTGGATCATGGAGTTACAGACAGTTGTAAGCTGCCATGTGGGTGCTGGGAATTGAACCCCAGGTCATCTGGAAGAACTGCCGGTGCTCTTAACGACTGAGCTATCTCTCCAGCCCTGATTGTTAGGCTCTTAAATCAGTTCTGAATATTGGTGATAATGAGTTTTCCTTAAGTCTGATACTGAATTATGAAGCACGTGTTTTTTTTTTTTTTAAGATTTTTATCTATTTATTGTGTATACAACATTTTGCTTCCATGTATATCCGCACCCCAGAAGAGGGCACCAGATCTCATAACGGATGGTTGTGAGCCACCATGTGGTTGCTGGGAATTGAACTCAGGACCCCTGGAAGAGCAGCTGGTGCTCTTAACCTCTGAGCCATCTCTCCAGCCCATGAAACACATTTTTTTTTTTAATTTTAAGAATTATTTTATGTGTCAAGCAGTGTGGGGGGGTGCATGCCTTTAATCCCAGCACTTCAGTAGGCAGAGGCAGGAAGATCTCTAAATGAGGCCAGCCTAGTCTACAGAGTTCCAGAACAGCCTGGGCTGCACAGAGAAACTCTGTTTCTAACCCCGCCCCCCAAATTATTTCATTTTATGTGTATGTGGTGTTTTGCCTGCATGTATATCTCCTGGTGCCCTTGGAGAAATGTGGGGTAGCCACCAGAGAAGACTACTCATACATAGGTTTAAGCCAACAGAAAGTCTTTATTAGCAGGCCATGACTATGTTGGGTGTTTGGGATCCTAGTGTAGTCCTGAGCCTTTTTCAGGGTGAGCTTTTAAGCACAAAAAAATGTATCCTGGGTCGTTGATATAATTCAGTTAACAGAAACAGTCAGAATTGGAACTACAAAAGCCAAAAAAGCAAGGTTAGTGCATTCAGAGACTTCCCCGGAACTATGGACTTCGATGGATCAGGTCTTTGTTTTCATTTTGACAGGTGGTGCTGTCTGCAGGCTGAGATTCATGGCATGAAAGGCACTTCCATCATGGAGTCAGTTGTGCTAAGGTCTGGGGCCTCATTACATTCCCCACTGATCTTAGTGACTGAGTCAAATTGTGGACTCATCCTGCTCTAAAAAGGTGTGGTTGGCTGAAAGGATAATTCCTTTTACTGGATTGATACATAATTGACCCTATTGTTTAAGATGCAGCCCCTTCTCCTGACTGCTGTGAATCCAATCAGAATGAGACTTGAAGGCCCAGCCAGTGGTGACATCAGTTAGCTAGGGATCAAGAGAACAGAGGGTGTGACCAATGATCCGATTCTTGTCTTTGTCTCTTTTTTCCTTTTCAGTTTTTCTTCCAACAATGGCAAGATTATTATTATTTTTTAATCATCCTGATCAACTAGAAGAGAAACAACAGGTTTTCCTCAAAGCCCCCTTATCTCATGAGAAGTCTAAGCCTCTCCGATTTTCCAGCACCACTTCTGCAAAGGAATCTAACTGTTGTTTTAACTCAGAAATGGGAGATTTTAATTACCTATAAGATCAACCTGTCTACTTAGTGTTTAAAAAGTTTTATCTCACATGATAGAGGCTGACATATCTATGGCTGTTGAGTCAGCGATGCCAGCCTAGCCGGGAATGGGGTGAGGACAGACATAGCTCTCTCTCTCTCTCTCTCTCTCTCTCTTTCTCTCAATAGTCCAGAGTTGATATTAAAATGTTCTTTTCCCTCCTTTTCCATTATATAGGTATATCTGTGGCAGAATGTATACTAAAAGGGTGTTGGGTCTCCCGGAAGTGGAGTCACATTTGGTTGGGAGCCACCATTTGGGTTCTGGGAATTGAATTTGGGTCATCTGCAAGAGCAGCCAGTGCTCTTAACTGCTGAACCATCTCTCCAGCCCAGGGAACATAGTCTTGAGAGCATCACAATGTGATAAATGTTGTACTAGCAGTATATAAAAATGCTCCAGTTATGTTTATTCTCTTAAGAGAAGTTTGAAGGCCAGTGAGATGGCTCATTAGTAAAGGTACCCACTGCTAAGTTGTGTACCTGAGTTCCTTCTCTCAGACCCGTTCAGTGGAAGGAGATAACTGACTCCTGACAGTTGTCCTCTGATTTCCACAGGCACCGTGCAGTTATACCTACACACACACACACACACACACGAGAGAGAGAGAGAGAGAGAGAGAGAGAGAGAGAGAGAGGGGGAGAGAGAGAGAGAGAGGGAGAGAGAGAGAGAGGGAGGGAGCAGGAGGAAGGGAGAGAGAGAGAGGGAGGAGCAATTAAAATGATAAAAGGAGTTGCTACTGTAGTGAACTAAGACACGTATGTGAACATTTATGTCTAAAGGAGAATATTGAATTAGTTTATGTAGTGTGGTTAAAACATGACAACTATGTACCATTGCATTAGTTACTATTCTTATTAAATTATCATGTATT